GTGTTTTTGTGTGGTGGGGAGGCAAGAGAATGTTTGAAAGGGTGTTCTTTTTTGGGGCCCCCCCCCCCCCCCCTTTTCAACGGAGCCTAGGTTTTAGGAAGCTAAGGTGGCAACGGGACTGGCTTGATGAGTGCTTGTAGGAAACATTGTTCGGTGGCTTGGGCTGAGAAGCTGCCTGGCCAGTTCATTCCTCCACGTTGTCACCTTTTCCTTCCCAAATTCTCTTCCCTCCCCGGCTCTTTCCCTTCCTTCTAGCATCTTTCGTTTTTCCTCGCTTGGTTCTGCGTGGCAGTCTCTTTCACCTGAGGCAATCTGCCTTGGTGGAGTGAGGGTGGGGTCACCCAGAGCCAGCTTCAGCTGGTTGAGCAGAACTTGACCACAGAGCTCCTAAGCCCAGCTCTGTCTGTCATTTTATCTAGTCTGCAAAGTTTGCCACAACTTCCACGTGTTTATGTGCAGGTGGGAACTTTAATTGGAACAAGTGGGAAAGCCTTCCTTTGCTTAGCATTCTTTCAACTTTAGTGCTAGCTAGAAGCCTAACTTGGGTTAGGTGGCATCCCTAGTTTCCTGAAAAAAATGCTAAAGTTCCTGTGTTCAGTGGTTCTGAGTATTTAGGGGCTGTGCCATTCATTTGAAAGGCATTCATAGCATTCCTGCTTAGTACCAGGAAATCTTGGGTGGTGGGAGAGGACAGAAAGCAAAAGAGGTGACAGTCCCTTAGCCTCCTGGAACTTAATCTCAGTGGTGAGAACTAATGAAAGTGAACTGATAAAAATAATGCGGATGGTCCTAGGGTTAGGCAGGAAAATGAAGCAGAGGAGGGAGGTCTGAGAGAAAGTGGTACTTTTTAATGTGTGGTCAGGGAGGGCCTTATTGAGAATTTGACCCCTTAGCAAGGAGCTGAAGGACATGAGAGAATGAACTGCAAGGACATCTGGGTGAAGAACGACCATAAATTCCAAGAAGCCAAAGTGACTCTGCCCCTAAGTAGAAGGAGCAAAGATTGAGAACTGTGAGGTCAGAGCAAGCCAGATGCCAGGGTAGCGGTCTTTGTCTGTGTGTCGGTTTAGCCACAGGTCTGTCTCAGGAGGCCAGCAGTCCCCCTTTCTCCTAAACTCTCCCATCTGCTCTCTGTGGACGCTGGAGAGCTGTGGATCTTGTATGTCTGTGGTTCAAGTTTCTGCTAGTTGGGGCCTTAATTTATTACTCTCATGACAGCTAACCTTCTTTCTGTCTATGTATCTTTAGCTGCCTTTTCTGGAATCTTATTCCTCTTACATCTGCTACACTTTTCCCCAATGCTTTGTGTTCCCTTGGCCCCTTTTACCACAACCCTTTCCACAACTATGTTTTTTTCCCATGATTAATCTTTCTCTTCCTCTTCCTCTCCCTCCTCTTTCTTTTTCTCTTTCTTTCTTTCTTTCTTTCTTTCTTTCTTTCTTTCTTTCTTTCCTTTCTTTCTCTCTCTCTCTTTCTTTCTTTCTTTCTTTCTTTCTTTCTTTCTTTCTTTCTTTCTTTCTTTCTTCTTGTGAGATAGGCTCTCATGAAGCCTAGGCTGGCCTTGAACTTACTATGTAGCTGCGGTTGACCTTGAACTTTTGATCTTCCTTTCTGGGATTATAGGCATGTGCCAGCTACCACACCCCATTTATGTGGTTCTGGATACCTAACTCAGGGTTTTGTGTGTGCTAGGCAAGCACCCAACCCAATTATTTTCTAGCTTCTTTGTTCTTCTTTTCAGTACCAGAGGTTAAACCTATGGCCTTAAGCATGTACTATAAGCACTCTATCTCTGAGCTACAGCCTTAGCCCTTTATTACTACTACTACTACTACTACTACTACTACTACTTATT